AGAAGATAAAAACCAAACATTTTAATATGCTATATAAGAAGATGCTAGTATGTGTTGATTCCTTACTGGAAGCGAGGCAGTCTAATACTAAGTAGTTCTCAAATAGTTATTTGATTATTAATGCCACTAAGTTGTATGTGTGTATCTGTATCACCGTCATCATCATTTCCATTTCATAGATGAGGAAAACGGCTGTGAGAGGGTAACTGGCTTGCTCAGGGCTGCCTTAGATGTGGAAAGTGCTGGAGGAAGATTCAGGAGGACACCAGGAAGGGCGCTTTTTGCCAGGAGTTCCTGAGGGCAGGAAGTGGAAGTTGGGCTGAGCGAAGAGAACGCCTCATTCAAACCCAGCCATGCCATCCAGTCCGCACACTCCAGGCCACTACTTTCTACTGAACTCTAGCAAGGGGGAGCTGGCTGTGGCTTTGCAGAGCCAAAGCTGCCTTCCAGAGTTCTCAGGACTTTGCAGGCAGACCCTGGCCATTCCAGACAGAGAGTCACGGAGAGCAGCCTCAAGTCCGGCGAGCATTATCGAATAAATAATTGCAAGTCCTCTAGCCGTGACTTAAGCACTGAATCCTTGTGAGGAAGGAATGTGGCAGGAGATGAGTCAAGAATTTGATGGGCCACAGTCGCTTGGTCCTCTGTGAGGCATGGGGGTGGTGACCCCAACCATGAGGAAGTCAGAGGGGTCTCTGAGAGCAGATTTGGGGCTCAGGCTGCAGCACCAAGGCCCTCTGTCCACCCGCACTCTGCAGCTCCCTCACAATCCCTTCCATTTCCTTCTTGAGCTCTTTTCTGCCAGCTCAGATGTGGGTCCACCAGGGCTGGGCAAGGTCAGCCCCAGGCCTCAGTCGCATCTTTAAGCAGACTGCCCTCCCTTGACCACTGAGGGGCTGTCGGGCCAATCCAAGAGCTTGCATCTCTCCTCCTTGACGGGGACTGTTCTTACTGTTCCGGTCCCCCACGCCACCTCCCCCTTCCCCGGGCTGTCCTGGAACAGCCGCTGGATTCAGCCTCATGCATCACCCTTACTTCACACTGAACCAGCAGTGACTAGCAAGGCATCAAAGCACTTGTTGATAGGAACTATGTGAACGGAAGTCCCCTCCCTTGTACTCTTCAGATAGTATTCCTTCAGCTCTGAATATCATGCCTTATTCCACCTTTGGGAGGAATCTCAGCTTGCATCCTTGCCTGTCTACCTAGTTTATGCATCCTGGTTGGATTTCTCAAAGGAGAAAATCTGACCAGTAGCCAGTGGATCAGAGGAAGAAATTCTGCCTCAAAAAGAGGCAAACATCACTGTTGCTTTTCTCTTAAATACTGTGCTGTCATGAGAAAACCCCCGATGGTCACTGTGTTACCTTGAGTCGCAGGATGCTTCTGTAATTCTGCTACTGTAGTAAAACTTTATACATTCAGACTCTGGCTTTCATAGTCCTTTTATTTCAAAGTCTTTGACTTTTAAGTATTTTAGAGTTTAGCTGATTTGATGTTACTATTTACAAAATAAACTCTCTTCCTAAATCTTACAAATTGCGGGCCAGGGATTTAGCTCAGTGGTTTCACTGCCTGCTGTGCAAGCACAAGGACCCGAGTTCAATCCCCGGGAAAAAAAAAAAAAAAATCTTACAAATTGGATGGAATATTCAAACTATTTGGCCTTTTATTTTATTCAAAGATAAGATTTTTCAGGTTAAATGAGGTATTTTCAACATACTCATTTACTATGTAACAACTTCAGACAAATTCCAAATGTCCTTATTTAGTCACCATAACAGCATTAAAAGCTTCTACTTGACCATTTTTAATAGTATACCTGAGGCTATTCTGAATGAAAGAAATAAAACTGTATTTGGAAATATATTTTTTCAATTACATCCCCTCCTGCAATTAATCTGAATTTTCCAGACTTGACCCTAGAGAATTTTATTTACTACAAAGATAATCAAGCACTGATTATTATCAATACTTCCCAATAAGTGATCAGCAAGTAATTTAAAGTGTGTTTGCCTGTTTTGTTGTTGCGATACTTATAGTACATGCACACAATTTATCTGCTTTCTCAAATAAAATTTTGTAATACTGCTCTTCTCTTCACCTTCTCGCAAACAGGCAGTGGAAGGGCAGGAAGGGGAAGGAGCAAAGAGTAGAGGAGAGAGGAGCTGAAAAACAGTAATACAAGTGTTTGGGACAAAAACAGAACTGGACAAATTCAGAGGGCGTGTAGGGTCATGAGCCACCAACCTGAGGCAGTTGGGAGCCTCCTGCGTATCAGGAGAAGCAAGAATGGGAAGGCAGACAGCAAGACTCCAGGAAAAGGGAAGGCGGGTGAGACCAGCTTAGGACTCTTGTCCCGAGGAGTAAATTCATGGAGAGTTGCAAACTGACTAATAGAAAAACATGGTGGATGTTGAGAGAGTGGGCTGTGGAGCTAAGCATACTTGCCTTTGCGTCAGGCTCTGCCACTTACGATGTGCTTTTGGACAGTGTGTTTAACGTTGATGAGTCTCAGTGTGTTCGTCTGCACACTGGTGCTAACAGTGCCCAGCTGCTAGGATTGTTATGAGGACTATGCGATAACGTGTGCTAAATGATGCTTGACACTCCATCTGGTTATTGTCTCTTTCCTGATACATATTTTTCACTTTCCTTCTCCAGTTAGTTAGAATTCACCGGAATTGACCCACATAAGCTTCACTACAAAGAAATCCAAGCAGTGGGTTATTTTTATTCCAATAATAATTTGAAGCCATCCAATACATATGTTTAAAACATTTTATTAAGCAAAATAATCACTCCTCTACCTGGTCAAGGGTTTATGTCAGTGGAAGGATCCCAGACACTGAAGTCAGGTCAGCCTAGATTCAAATCCTGGGTACATTCCTCAGCAGAAATATCATTTTTAAAATGTCCCTTGAAGGCCCATGTAGTATGGTTTGGTCCCGAGCCTGTGGTGTTGTTGGGGTGGGGTGGGACTTCTAGGAGGTGGGGCCGGGTAGGAGGAAGTCAGGTCATTGGGGGGGGCCCTTGAACGGGACAGTGGAACCCCGGCCCTGCCTCTGTCTCTTTCTCTCTTTGACCCTGGCCGCTGTGAAGTGGACAGACCTCCTTCAGCACACACGCCCGTCTTGGTATGCTGTGCTGCCACAAGTCCACAGCAAATGTCCACCCACTGAAACCTCCAACACTAACAACAAACCAAACAAAACCTTTTCTCTTCATAAATTGATTATCTCAGGCATATTCCCACAGTACTAAAAAGCTGACTAATACAGATTTCCTTGGTAGTGATGTGGGAGCAAGTCATCTACCTTTTTAGGGAGTTGTTAGGATTAAAAGTGAAAACAATTCATTTAGGATGTTATCTAATTAAAATTGCCAGCTAGTTGGGATAGTGATTTCCAGTTTTCAGCATGTCCAGTTTTCTGATGTCATTAATTGGCCAGGGGAGGTCAGTGAGTAAAGGAAATGGTGTTAACGTGTGTTAAATAAAGGAAGTACCCAGAGAAGGCAAGAATTTTCACAATGTCTTATAATGAAGTGGCCGTAGAGTCAACCCTGAATATAGATTAACAAAGCCGCGGGGTCTGTTCTTGGCTTTTCAAGCCCTTGTAGCTTTACTTTATTGGTTAATAAGCTACATCTAGAAACTAAACGTCTTCCCCGGAGCCATAGACTACAGGTTTCCTGACATCTGAGCTGCTCCTCCACTCTGGGTTATGTACAGTTTCCAGTGGACCACTTCAATGCCAGCTGATACCAAAGAAGATTTTTAGAAATAAATATGATAGCATATGCAACTAGCTAAAGTCAGCACAAGAAAAAAATGTAAACTGCAGAACCAATATTTTAGGAGTTTTATAATATGGCTTTTCAGTATCAAAACTCAACAATGGGTTTGCAACATATGTGTTTGATGCCCTTTGTTTTTCATAATTTCATCTACCATTTTCTTTCCACTCAAGATGTATTTCTCTGGATCCTAAAAGGAATTTATAGGAAAAAACTTCTACTGGGGGAAATGTTGTTCAAAGAGTTGTCCTACTGTGTGTGCATCCGGTTCATTGACTTCAACGACTCCCCCGAGCTTCTAGTAGCATACAAACCTGCTGGTAGGGCTGGGGATTTAGCTCAGTGGTTTCACCACCTGCTCCGCAAGCACAAGGACCCGAGTTCGATCCTCGGTACCAAGAAAATAAACCCAAAAAAACAAATCTGCTGGCAGTAGGAGAAAATTGCAAGATCAATTTCAGTTTTCTGAGGCTCCTGGACCCCCTTTCTACAGGAAAGGTGCCTTTCATCCTCATCTATAAATTCAACATCAGTAGGCATCTGTAATTTCAAATCTTAGACAGAAACCTTTGTGTTGGAAAACTCATGTTCACCAGCATCCAGCCTCAGCACCTGTCCATCTCCTGGGCCATTTCCCATTTGGCCTGGATGATGGAATCCAGGTGTCTATCTATGTGCGGCATGCTCTCTGAGGGACACAGCCATGGCAGCTGTCCCTAGCTCCCTGACAAAGGGAATGGTGAAGTTGGAGAGTGTCCAGCTCTTCATTCGGGCTCTCTGGTTCTCAGCTGGCTGCTCTTTTTTTTTTTTTTTGGTACCGGGGATCGAACTCGGGGCCTTGCGCTTGCGCAGCAGGCAGTGAAACCACTGAGCTAAATCCCTGGCCCCCAGCTGGCTCCTCTTGATTCCATTCCACCCTCAACTCTAGAAGCCCACTCTTATTTTCGTGGTTGATCCAGTTTAATGTGTTTACCCTCCTTTGTGGTGTCTAACTAATGTTTTGGGGGAAACGAGAGGTTAAATCTTCCAACTTTGAGTAACTATATGAAAGTCTGCATGAGATGACAGTGCATCCTGGTGTGCATGTCAGATAGGCACTTTATTATTAACTCTTCCTGTGTGTTTTAATCATCATAGGTTTCTCATTACTCAGTTAGCAGTTACATGGTAAAAACAATTACTTTGGTATTTGTGTTTTACAGATGGAGATGCTGGGTCCTGAATGTGTAGCTGATCACACTGTGGCCTGGACACAGAGTTGGAACCACAATCCAGAGTCCCTGGGTTTTGCCTGCAAAGGGCTGTGCTGCTTATCCGTGGAGCCCTTCTTCTCCTTGTTTTCATTTAGGTAAGTCCTACCTTCTTATTAAATCATGAGAGCCATTGTCTTGAAAATGGATGAATTATAAGTTAAAGGTCCATCTATGGATGCTAGCTTCTTGTAATTCCTTCTTTGAGCCCAGTAGACCAAAATGTCTGAGTTCAAATGTGTGATTGTTCTGAGTGCCACTGTTTTATTCTTTCAGCCCTTCTTCCTTTGATCTTGCAGGCAGGGTCAATGGCCTATGTGTTACTTTTCGGGCCATGTATTATGCTCATTTACATGCTTTTCTTGGTGCTCCAGCTCTGGTTTGAAGCCATCAAAACAACAGCATGCTCAAAGATGTGAATTCTAGCAAACAATATAGGGACCTTGGTAGGTATCTGGTGACTATTTCTGTGTCTATGGAGTGAATAGAAAGAATCAAAACTAAGTCTTTTTTAGGCCTACCCACTTGTTTGACTTTGATTAACCTCAGGGTCCCACAAAAGTAGCAAAATGAATTAGCCAGTTTGACCAAGGTCCTTTTGGTTGGCCTGGGTCAGCCCACTCAGGTGTCCTTGAGTGTCTGGGATAGTGAGATGCCTCTGTGAGCCCCCAGTTTTAGCTGCATTCATGCAACCTACTTTTTTTAAAATTTTTTTTAAATTTATTTTGGTACTGGGGATTGAACTCGGGACCTTGTGCTTCCGAGGCAGGCAGTGGAACCACTGAGCTAAATCCCTGGCCCTATGCAACCTACATTTTGGTCATAAATCCACCTGTTCAGTATTTTACACTAAATAAACGCTATATCCATTTTGAGTTTTCACCCATTACTGCAGTCCTCAGACAGCCTTTTCCAGTCTGACACCAAGTTATAAAATTTTGACATTTGCTTTGGAGGAAGATAGCAAAGTAAATAGACAGATTTTTCCATGGTGCCCTCTTTATTCAACTTAGTTTTTCATTGGGCCAGCTGTGTGGATCAGTACTTAGCCACATCACCGAGCTCCTGAGAGTAGAAGGGTCAAAGATATCATGGTTGGGGAATCACCAGTAGGAAACCATTAAACTCAGCTTCAGCAATGTAGGGACCGAGAATTCATAGCTTCCACGTCTACAACAGCCATGAGACAGGCAGTCCATTGCATAACGGCAAGAGCCAGGTTTGCAAAATCGCTTCAAAACTCAAAGAACAAAAGAAGGGTGTTTTCCTCCCTGTAAAGCTCCATGTTGATGCAAGTCCATCAGATGAAGGCAGGCATGTGAACTCTGGATCTTGTGCAGCTGAAGCATGGAGTGGTAGGTCCTGTTTACGCTCTGCCAGAAGCCGATGGGCCTCAGAAAGGGAGTTCCAGAGTTCTCTTCACTCCCAATGATTTATTCTGATTTCCCTTTGCAGCATATGGATTCTATTTTCTGCTGTCTTTATAAATACTGTTGTGACTGTCTCTGCCAGGCCAGCTACCTTTATTACTCCAGGGAGAAGGCAGAGAGCGGACATTCCTAGTCTCCACCCCATTAGACACTGCTGCAAGAGGAGGGAGCACATTTGCCAGTCAAGATGATGTGTGTATTTGAATCTTTAAAGAGCCAGGCTAAACTTAGAATCAGGGGCTCCCATAAATAACCTGCACCCCTCTCTCTTTGTGTGGTTAGGGCTGGAATGCCTTTCTCTTTTGAGTTGTACAAGCAACAAGAGATCAAAGAGTCAAGCATTTATAGATGTGTAGTTCATTACAGAGGCACCCCTCTCAGTGGGAGGATTCTAGCAAAAGCACTAATAATTCTCTCTGTGACTATTTTGTTCCATGCACTGAAGTTAGAGGGCACTGAAAGAACCTGCAACCACTTTAATAACTTTTTTTAAAAGTAAAGATGAAAATTCACTTTCAAAGCAGAATTAAAACTCAACTGGCATCTTTTTAGGGTGTAGAATGTGGTAGGAGGGAAGAGGAAGTAAACAAATGGACCGGTTACCGCAAGGAATGTGGTTCAAGAAGAATAATAGAAGGTGGAACAGTATCCTGTGTAATTTACTTACTCTTGGGTAAGCATTATAGGCAGCCTTTGATAAGCAGAGCAGAACATACTCAGGGATTTTTCTTTAAGCCTAAACTTATAATGTAGCTGAAAAACAGGCTTTGAACTAGTTTGCTGGAATGTAAAGAAGAAATGGATTTCAAATTATAGCATTGGTGATCTCACAATCTCAGGATTGCAGGTGATCACTATGCTACAAAATAATAACTACCATTTAGCCCACTTCTGCTGCGTGCCACATGCAGTGCAGTGTGTGTGGTATCATTTAATCCTCACAGCCATGCACACGGAGAACATACTGTTAGCCCTATCTCACACACAGGACTCCACAGACTGGAAGTACTTTGCTCAAGGTCACACAGTCATTCAAGGGTAAGCTCAGGACTTGAACTGTGTCCTGGAATGAAGCAGAAATGGCCACCATTTGGCCTGCAGTGAATACTTCTGGCTTCTGCCTCCTTTGCAAGCTTATGTTATAGAAGTTGTTGGAGCTCTTGTGTTTTCTGAGCCTGGGAGCTTTGCCCTCAAGAAGCTATCACAATCTGTGACTGCAGTTACTCGGGCTGAACTAAATCATGTCCAAGTATAGCTTCCCTGCCTTTCTGTTGCCTGCACTCTCTCTCTCTCTGGTTTGTAGAATTAGAGGCTATGGAAAAGTGTCCACTAGGAACCATTCCCAGAATTCATAAGAAGAAGGCATGTAGAGGAAATAGTTTGTCAGGTCTGTTGCCCGTTTCAGGGGCAATCAAGGACCTCAAGATATTAATCATGTATATCTACATGGGTGTCTTGTCTCTGCAGTTGTCTGTGGTCTGTCAGACATAATCATTAGTGTCCTGTACACTACATTTCATACTTGAGGGCCTTGCATGATGTTGGAGACTGACGTCTTGTCGAAGAACACCCGTCAGAGCTTGATCAGTTATAGAAATAGCTGAAGAAATATTTCCTCAAATGTTTTATTTTAACTGGAATCACGTTTGAGTTTGCCATTCTTTAGGGTGCTTTAACTTTAATAAAAGCTGAACTGTATGAGCCTCTAAAAATGGCACACAGTAGAGTACAAAGAGCTCAAGGATTGGGGTGAGTAAAGTCTCAGTGACTGTGTAATCTCTGGGAGCTTTTGTCCTTGTCACAGATAAAACCTGAATCACAGGACGTCACAGATCAAATGATTAAGATGATTGGAAGGCTGTGGGTCTCTACAGATGTTACCTTCTTTCTGTTCTCAGGATTGCTACCTTTTATTCAACCCATCACTTCATCTTGCTTTTTTTAAAAAAAAGCTTAAAAGATCAGAAATAGAACCAAAGATCCAATCAATTCTTTTTTTTTTTTTTTTTACTGACTTAATAGCCATTGAAAGCGTCATCGAAATCCTGTGGTTCTTCCTCCCTCCAAGTTTTCCTGAAAGATTTCACACTTGCAGTGTGAGGAATTGTGAGTCAGCCTTCTCCAACCCTGACTTTAAGAACTGCAGAAATCAGGTGCCAGGCAGCACATATGTTCTTAGCTCCCTGAGAAGAAGAAAACACATTTGCTGAAAAGCAAAGAAAACTTTTTAAACTGATTGAGTTGTAATAAAGACCTTTTGCATTTTGCTAACTTCTTTTTCTCTCTGGTGCCTGAGAATTTTCTGGCCCTGGACAGGTTCTCAGGCTAGGCAGACAGTGTCATCCTGAATATTCCCTTTGTGGGTTAGGCTCCAGCTAGCCATGAAGGAGGGGCACAGGAAGTGTAGAATGACCAAAAAGTGGAACTGTGATCCGGAAATAAGAAATCAACAGCATCCACCACCACAGTGTACAACTTCGTTCTGTCCTGAAGGTCCTGTAACTTCTGATGCAGCTGGTAATGAACTACAACCTGTGCTCCCTTGAAGACACATGGTCTTTAGCAGGCTAGATCACTGGCCAAGTTATAGAGCTACTGAGCCTGACAGAAATGAATGCCTAAGCCTGTAATAGCTGCATTTCGTTTACATGGATTACATTATACAGGGGACCCCTGGAATGTTGGAAAGGTGTTTTCTTCTAGACAATGGTCTTCAACAAAGCATAGAAAGAGCCACCCAGTGCCCTAAAAGGGCAGATGGCTGGCAAGTGGTATCGCCTCCGTTTTAACATTGTAAAAATCAAATTCAATGACTGGAAAAATGAAATCCAACTTAGCGCTCTATTTGAGAAATCTTAAATTCAATTCATGACGTTTTGACCTTCTTCAGCTTTTACTGATGCTGTTCTGTTCCTCGGTAATTGGTATTTGGTTGTTCTTGAGGATTGTCGGTCTGGGTGTTTTTATTTTTATTCATTCAGTTGTGTAAGTAAAAACTAATGTGCTAGAATAACCATGGCATCTTCAGCCACAAAGACAAAGGCTTTTCTAACCAGCGTTTCTCCCGTAACACCTGGGCATAAGTTTCGTGTGGGTTTTCTCTCCTCAAGTACCTAGTGGCATGATTCCCTGTTCAGAAGCAATTGACAGTGACATTTCATTTGAGCAGGAAGAAAATTTTTTCTACTTTTAACCAAACCCAAAGGCAACTTGAAAAACACTTTGAAAGCTGATTTCCATTCCTCGGTCTAAAGCAGACCCAAAGTACCACACAGGCAGGTGCTGCTTGTGGCAACTCTGCTGAGTCCTTGTGAAACGGATTATGTTGACTTTCTGAGGCGATCTCAGGATGTGTCCATACAAAGGAGTACAAAACAGTGGTTTTTTAAATTCCACAGAAATGGGATAAATCTTACGAAGAAAACCAAATCAGGTAAACCTAGAATTTGGGCTTTGTGTCAAACCTTGCGATTTAAAATCCCTGGTCATTCCTCCAGAGCCCCCGATACAGACATCTATAATCCCATCCACGTCAGCACAGCGACCCCGCCCCATGGCGTGCTTCATCCCCCTAAAAGGGAGCCAAGAGGCAAAAACTCAGAGCCCCAGTTTGCATAAAACTCTTGCACGAACAAAGAGAAGGCAGCAGAAAAGGAATTCCTGGGTCA